ACTGTCGGTATTTTCGTTGAAAACTATAGACACTTTACAATCCAAATGAGCGAAGCGTTTTATGTGTATCATTACGCAAAATACCATTCTGCTTTGGGACTCAAAATTGATCCACATCGACTAACGTTGTATTCATTTCAGTCGATTCCGTGTAAATATTGTGTGAAGCGTGACTTTGCCTAGCATCAAAACTGATGGCATAAGCACAAAATGTCTTTTTGCTAACGTATTTGATTTATGTAAGATTGACACTCAAGTAATGCTTAAAAATATGATCGAAATTCGGGGACATCGCCACAGAATGATCACAAACATGACCAATTCCCACGAGTCTCCAAGTGGCCAAACGTTTGCAGCTGTCTGAAGTGAACTTCCAAATCGGAAGCCAGGAAGACTGTCATAAAATCTAAAGCGTGGTCAGGGCTTAAGTGGTGCAGAGGTTTTTTTTAACATAACTGGCCAGCTGGAACCACGAATAACGATTCCTATCGTAGCCCACGTCAAACAATTGATATCACACCCTCACACACTACATCCAAACTACAACTAAGTAGCCACCTTCGAAACATTGGAAAACGTGCTACCTGGATGTGGCTACGCGAATGAGACATCGTGCGCCATCCACACTATTTTCCGGACTCTTAGGATAACTTAGATGATACATACGACAGTGGACTTCAAGTTCCAATCCATCTTACCGGTTTCACAGGAAAGGCCCATCTGGGGTCAAATTGCCAAAGGTATTGGATTAAGAAACTGAAACACGCCATGGATAGTCAAACCATTCGATCACTGAGCCTATTCGGTCAGGCGTTATTTCATTCCAACTGAGCTAAATCTTGATCACCGTCTACGGGACTCTAGTAGAAACGCAGTCACGCACAATCCGCTCAGGAATAAAATAAACACAGAACATCGTCTTTCTTTTCAGCTGTAGTTTAACGACCAATGTGTTGTGCAATCCATCCAGTAATGAAGTTGAGGTCACAAGCTCAGTTAATCCTATAGTATGGGAGAAATCCAATGAAGTCATCAACTCAGATGCATGAATGCTCCTACCCGCGGATGCTTTTAGCGGCCTTAACTGTTGTCTTCAAGGAGCATATTCCTTTGACGTTTCCAAAGTACAGCCAATAGCCCTCCGCGAAGAAAAAAGGAACTCGACCTGCACTTTTATTACAAATCGTAAGGTATCATAGCCCATGCACAAAAACAGCCGACATAAGCATTATTCACTCTGTGGGTCCAGTCTACCTGAATAAGGTCGTGGCTTTTTGGAACACTGTAGTTATCTCAACCAGTAACTAGTTAATATAGTCAGTGTACTGTCAGCCCAAATTTTAACCAGAGTTTGAATGAGCTGAGAGCAATCGAATTGAGTAGGCTGGTTAACCTACGCGACATCCAGGCTAATGGTTTAAATGATGAGCAGACGGCAGTAAAGCCTGGATGGCAAGCGGATTTGTTGAATATGCCTACCGATTTGAGCTTACCTAGCCGTGTAATTGACTCTGTTTTGCTAAACGCCTGTTACCACTTCATCACGTCAGACGACACGGGTCCTTGGATTATAGCTCTCATTACACATCAGCTGATTGTTCTAATATGGGCGTTCTTTGTCGTACTGTCTCAGTGTAATTTCGCACTGAAAACCATACTATGGCGCGACAACAAACCAGGTTACAAAGTATGGGGTCCTACAAGTGGCCCTTACCAACTAGCAGGTCTTGGGTAAAACAACCTTGTGATGCGCACAGCTGGAAAGTCACTAACGTCGCAAAAAGCAAGACCCATCTCCGTACACATTCATTGGAAACCGATTATGTGCAGCACATGCGCACAGCCCGCAACCGAAGATGCAGTCAGCACAAACTTGTTGGTGGGGCAAGTGGAGACAGCTACAATCGAGCAGCCCGTGGTGGCTGCATATCCCGTTCGGCGAACCCTCCCCAGTGTATTCTGAAATGTGAATCAGTCGGCGCTCCAGTCGATTGGAAGATGTGGCTACAAGATCACACCTACTACTTATACTGTGACCTACATGTAGCAAACAAACGTAATTCATCACGTGACTGCTGTCCTGGGAGGTACACGATTTCGGCATAATCTAAGTGCACTGAATAGTGCAATTCATTGCCAACATTCACCAACCTTAACATAGCGAATGAATCTCATTTTTTCTTGGCGGGAGAAAAACCTACTTCCTCAAATCTAAAACAGCAGTTCAATACGTTGCACGTAGTAAAAGGATACCAATATCATGGTCTAGCCATCTGCCGAACTACAGTGACTGGTGCAGTCAGACTGTCTCATCTGTAGATAACCATCGATCCCAGTGGAGGACCTGATAATTATAAATGTGGTCCATGGACAAAAACTATCAGCCCTCCTGAAAGTCACATCTAGTACAAGAGACCCTCCAGAAGCTCGTGGTTAGTACCAGTGGCATCCAGTTGACATGATAACAAGTGGTCCAGCCGTGGCGTTTCTCGGTGTACAGCTGCCGTGCAACCCGAAGGAAGCAAGAAGCATGAGATACTGCCTAGTTGCCCAAGCCAAGACAGGAAAACCCAGGGTTAGGTTTAAACCACTAACATCCTATAAGTACAATCAGCTGGAAATGCTTGGAACAGATTGAGTTGTTTTCGGAGGCCTGGGAACAATCCGTAGGTGGATTGCTGGGCAACGTTTCGCTTTTGATACAAAATCTTCCTCAGGCCAAGTGACTAGGTTACGAGGTTGATCCAAATTCAAGGCGGAAGGAAAACCAATCAGCTAAATGTGTGTTAGGTTTCGGCCAAATGAGGTGATCCATAAAGTGTTAAGACCAACAGTGAACCTATATGGATTCCGATCCAGCTCAGGGTGTAGTTCTTCCGGTTTAGTTTACGTGAGAATTATCCTTGAACGTCGTTCGAACTATTCGCCCGGCTGTGGATGAACCAGTTTTACGATCATTCTGTGGGGGAGCCGGTGAACTTAGGTCCGGTTGGGATTCCCACCCCTTTCCTTGCCAATGATTCCACATTTATTGACAACCAAACAGCCACGTATCGCCTCGGCTTATCTAAACCACTCTCTTAAACCACTAACATCCTATAAGTACAATCAGCTGGAAATGCTTGGAACAGATTGAGTTGTTTTCGGAGGCCTGGGAACAATCCGTAGGTGGATTGCTGGGCAACGTTTCGCTTTTGATACAAAATCTTCCTCAGGCCAAGTGACTAGGTTACGAGGTTGATCCAAATTCAAGGCGGAAGGAAAACCAATCAGCTAAATGTGTGTTAGGTTTCGGCCAAATGAGGTGATCCATAAAGTGTTAAGACCAACAGTGAACCTATATGGATTCCGATCCAGCTCAGGGTGTAGTTCTTCCGGTTTAGTTTACGTGAGAATTATCCTTGAACGTCGTTCGAACTATTCGCCCGGCTGTGGATGAACCAGTTTTACGATCATTCTGTGGGGGAGCCGGTGAACTTAGGTCCGGTTGGGATTCCCACCCCTTTCCTTGCCAATGATTCCACATTTATTGACAACCAAACAGCCACGTATCGCCTCGGCTTATCTAAAACCACTCTCCATACATTCCCCAGTTTCACACCCTCGATTCTATTCACGCTGTGATGCTTGGCAATTTCCACCACCCCAGCCATCAGCCGCTGTATTGTGTATCACAACTCCCGTCCTCCAGGTCTATTGTCGTGTCTAACGCATGTACCGCCAGCGCCGTTTCTGACCAGCGCTTGATATTCTTCCGCATTCCTTGGTGGTTTGTTTATCCTCCTTCTATGCTTGCTAACTCCAGTGTACGGTTCCCCGGCAGTTTGTAAACCTTGGTGCAATCGTTGCATTTAGTTTTATAGTCCCAGCTCATTCAAAAGGGAGGATATCGTGTATAAAAAAACTGAGCGTAGCGTCTCTCCTTCCTGGAAAGCTACACCAATGTTGGTGGTCTTCAATTAATTCTTGGCGTTCCTGCCTTATATGGAGTGACTGCTGTGCTAATACACTCCTTACTGGAGTCAATATCCCTCTTAATTACAGAGCGTGAATCTTATATAAAAACAAGCGGCAAAACGCACAGACTAATACAAGGTCTATCCGGTTGATTGGCATGTAAGTAGTTCCCACTGTCAACCAAGGCAACAGAGCGCTGCGATCAAGGTCGGGTTTCAAGTGTCTTCTATATATCCATTTCTGGTACAAGGGTTAATAAGATGGGATTAACAACCAATCTGAAGTTACACAAAAAAGGAGAGACCGGAACTTATTCGATCAGCCAACCGGGAACGAAATAGTTTAGCCGCAAAAGTACTCCACAAAGTACGGGGAGAGTGGATTCGACCTACGGATCTCCATAGGAGTTGCGTCCGAAACGGTGCATTACTGCGGATAATTCATGACAAAATTGGGATAATAAATTCGTACCACACAACCGAGTGGTTCGCAACTAAACGGGAGCATTACGCACACGCGTCCGGGACGAACAGTAATTTGTCTTAAAATGTGGATTCATCGACCGGCGAATTGCGTTGACTTTACGAATACCCATCTGGGACGTTCACAATTGACGCCCAGACACGACCTTGTTCCCTAGTTAGTTAGTTTGTTGTTGTTTCAGTATGTACTATTCAGTAGTCGGTCAGATCCAATACACCGTTATAGCCTGACGATGTTACTGTAATACTGCACTGAAGACTTTGACATATCCTATGATTCCCAATGAGTGGGCTATGAAGAACTGACTGTGTCTGAAAACCGAACAAGGCTAAAAATGGGATAGACAAGACTAGTACAATGAAGACCTGGATTCGCCTGTAGGAGCTGAGCAGGCCAATGCTAGTTACCAACAAAACCGGCTGGTCTACGTAAATTTGGATGAGATCGTAAGTGAGTAACGTCGCGGACACCCCTTATAACGCCCTTGATAGATGCAACACAAGTACCCCAGGGATGAGTTTGCTCCCGAACTGAAACAGGACGGAGAGATTTGACGACTGCTGACATAAAAGGGATACCACGATGAACAACCAAGCCACTACTGTCAACGACAAAACGCAACAATCAGTGTACAGAAATGTTCACAAAAGTTCAATATGCTAATACAATGTCTTGCGAAAGCTTGCGGAATATCCACCAAGCAAGGTGTGGAATACGACGGACGGCTGTCCTGGTAGAAAGCGGTGGAAGTTCCACGAAAGAGACGCAGACTCCGAGGCAGGCGCTCAAGAAACTGAAGATCGATCGGTATGAAGTCAGCAAACGTGCAGACCAATAAATGCTAGGACTGATTGCGTACGACGATGTCTCATGTCGTATGGAAATGAAACTGACAGAGGTGTTCAAAGTTAAAGCGATGAACGCTGTAAAATTCGCAAGTATGCACACAAGGTGTGAGAATGTAACATTCGTGGAACAGAGTTGAAGGGTAGATAAAAGAGGGGAAGGCGCCGATAACGAGAAGATTGGTCAACGCATTCGATAGGTATACGTGGAATCCACGCAGCTCAATTCACCTTCGAACACGATTTTCACTGAGATGTCCAAGTCACGCTACAAAATAAGGAGCCAGGGCAATTAGTCATAAACTGGGAGATATTTGGAAATTCTAGGAAGCTTGATCATTAGAACCAGCACTTTATTTTCACCCGGGATAGAACAGAACATCAAGTATGGTATTATAAGCGGTCCGAAATTCTGTGCGTATGACATCATTGGTAGGCAGATGTGCACCTACCGAAGCTCTGAGTTAAGAAACAACCTTAAGTTGCGCATAAAAGTTGGGCATTGTTGCACCACGGTAACAGCCGGTGTTCATTTCTTCCCAAAGTGAGGTCAAGCGACTAGGCTGGCATGTTACCTCTGCCATACAAGTCACCCACATTCAACAGGAGTGACAGAACGAGTGCATAGATCCGCAGCTTAGTTCCGGATGGAAAAATCCATGATCACCAGGAACAGGTGCACATCTATCACAAAGCCACAGACATTTTTACACTCTGACGTAACAATACCAACAGTCCTCGCGTGCATGTTCTTCCCTCTTACCCACGACGTCCCGTTCATCCGACCTAGCTACTAGTACTAATAAAGGTCGTTCAGCTGCAACAAACTTTCGGTGCCTAACTGCCATTCTACCCGATGGAAGCACGATGGCCGGGTTACTCTCGGGTTGCAGAACAGGCTGTCTGGACAAGAACAGTCAAGATGAGGAGGTTGGGTAAGAGCTATGGACCTTCCGGTCAGTAAGTTCGCGACTTGACCGCTGACCTATATCCAGCCCGGTTAAGAGACCAAGTCCAACAAGAATAGTTAAATAAGTAAAGGCGAACTGGCCATTTGCACTCGATTAATCTACGGGTCTATTTTGCAGAGTGGAAAAACCGACGCGTCCGTAAATCAGTAGCAATGTGACTTCACGCTTTACTCCTCCACTATTTCTGGACATCAAACCGCTCAACTACGACAGCAGCGCATATTTTAAGACATTAATAAACAAACCAACGAGCGCGAATCGGTGGATTGACTACCCACAACAAAACGGATCCTGAAAAGTGTTCCTCACTCAGAGTTCTGCATCGTATAAAAACATTTGCACGGAACACACTTCTTGACGTTATTCAAAACGTAACGTAGATCAGCGTTCCCCAAAGCAGGTCTCATGAACTTGCGATGAACATGTGATCCACTTTATTGTTTTATTCCGATGCACTATCGGCGTTTAGAGATCTACAAGCTATCATGTAAAGTGGCGTTTGCTTATTGACCTTTACCGAATATTTAGGCAATCAGTCCCAAAATGTCGCTAACACCGGCGCTCTACTATGGCACAGGCATAGGTTTTTATAAGCATCAAAGTAGCCGTCCTGGCCGGTTCGTCACTTGAAAGCTGTTGGCCTAGAGCACACAGTAGTGCACAACCTGTCTACCAGTGGAAAATCCGATATGCTTAGGTTTATCTGAACAAAATTAGATCTAACTTTCAAATAGGAGGATAGTGCAACTGCTGGTTGACAGTACGCGTGAGGTTGTGTATACACCTGCATCTCAGGTGACGTTTTGGGTCAAAAGTCACTTCGAGTGCACCATGTGAAATGGCTGAAAACAGACCATTTATCGTTTCAGAAGTTCTTATTAACAGGTTAATCCTGAAAAACCCGGTAAAAAAATAAATGAATACAAAAGGGTGTATGAAAAGTAAAATTCCCGGAGAATCCTAAACCGTAGGAGAGACTCTAGGACATGACCATAAAAGGTGAGACTGGCAACAATAAAACCATTCAGATATCCATCCACAAGACATCCGAAAGATACAGTGTGACTTACATTGTTGCGTGCATTGGGTCTGATAGACATAGTCCCGTTGATCTGCTCACCTTTCTTCACCGTAAGGCATTCGTCTTCACCATTGTCCAAATAGAACACCGTCTGCTTCCAGTGTGTGTAACGGCGTTCATCTGGACCTACAGGATTGCAGTAAGGGTATACTGAACTAAGCCAAGTGGAGACAGACAGCGGTAAGAAATCGCTAAATAAATTCAGTTGGGATCCTGGTACATGGAACACCTTGATCTAAGTTGTTCATCCTCATGCCACGGCTGTGATAGTGAACCGGTCTCTACGGACTGCTGAACTGATTTATACGTGCCGGGTGAACAAATAAACTGGGTATGGTAGTGCTTTTGAGGGTGGTAAGGTTGCACAACTCTGGTCACCAGACAAAGCCATAACAATCACAAACCGAGTAGGTCCCGAAAAAAAACGACCGAGAAACGAACAGGCTTGCTGGCTGCTCGCCAACACGCCTAGCTGCCTCCGCCACTAGTAAATGCATTCTAAAACTGTACTGGACTCGCTCAAGGTTGCGCTTCGCTGCTATCAATTTAATGGTAAGAATAAAGAACCTCGAGTGAATCAAAGGTGGGAGCCGGAAAACGTCACAGGCACTGATGACCTGGCATTCGAGTAACAAATAGACGCAAATAAACAATGTTTGAAAGTTGAACCTCCTCAAAAGGAGGCTCAGGTGGCGGGATGGCTCAGTGGTTACAGTGCGAATTCACACACCAGAACTCGACCTCTGCATCTGGGCCTGGGTAGATTGGAAGTATCCGGGCCCGCGTGTTTTCTTCTGGTGTCATAGCAGTTAGGCACCGGAAGAGTGCTACAGCTTAGCCACATATTTTTTGAACCAGCGTAGAAATCACAAGTCACCGTAGCAAGCTGAACAAGGCGAAATCAAGCTGTTGCCGCTGGATCAAAGCTCGGGTCAGTACCAAAGATTCCAACAGGTTACATGAACATTGGAAGATCTAACAACACTAGTCTAATTTCAATATATTTATGCAATTTGTATTCGTCCAGCATTGTCGTTGAGCAGAAAAACCAAATGTCGACTGAAATAAATAACCCTATCTAACGACCAGACTTGTAAAAACTTTTCTAAAGTCTCGGATACAATAGTAAGAGGATCATCTTTCTAACGTGAGCATATTCACTTGATTTTTCTGAAGTCGCAACTGAGGAAACACTGTGATTAGAAAACTCCAAAATTCCACCACAAATAGTGATTAACTGTGGAAGGCAGAACCCACTCAAATCGCCGAATTCACAGGTACCATTACATCGGAAATAGTTAACCATATTCCAGGCCCCACTCAAGATTTCTACTACGCAGGTGTTCAGCAGGTTACTCCCAGCGAAAACGAGTGTGACCCGACTAAATCGACGGTAATGTGGTCGGAAATGTTCCGATGACCACCTGGTTACTCGGTACACAAATTGATCGGTCCGCCTATAAATTCCTAAAAAAAAATGGGCTAGGTTACCGTGAACGATGTCCAGGTGTTTCTTTCCGCCAACAGCAGGTTGAGCACTGTGATGAAACTCCTTCACAAAGACCGTTTCTTTAATTGTCCGTTGTATTGAGGATCATCTCCAAAACAGATCCATCTTATCAATAACGCTTACCAGTAATCTTTGATCACTCTTGTATAGACTGCTTGGGCAGTACTACCAACATCCCGTACACCTCAGGTTTGCGCGATCCCCAGAAGAAATTAAATGTCATCATTTGCCGCGCATTGGATGCAGTGCTATAGTGCCCAGTTGCTCCACAATTACATTGCACCATACTTGATCTTTTTTGTAAAAGGAATTTTTTAGGATGTGTGATGAATAAGACCAAATGAATGTCTGTACATATTGCTAGCCTATTGGGTATATCGTCTACGCTCGAGCAGCGACTATCTTACAGTAAATCAAGTGCGGTGTTTAGAAATGAGGATTACTTTAATCCAACAACACGGAGACTATGTCTATCTACGTTTAAAGGTGAGAAACGGTAGTGAGCTGGTGCAGACTTTACATCACCTTATAAACAATATCGCACAAGGAATGACCACTTTAGGTGGGAGTTGTCTTACCTTGTTTTTCAAGAAAGCACAATCAACCCGCAGGGGCGAGATGGCTCAACTGGCTAGAATGCGAACTTACCGACCGGGAGGTCCGTGGTTCGAACTCGACCTCTGCCTCTCGACTTTCTCTGTCTAGGCTTGGGCAACCTGGCAGTATCCCAGCCCTCGTGCTTCCTTCAGGTGGCATGGCAGTTAAGCACCGGAAGGGGTTACAGCTGAACGATTTTTTTCATCGACCCACAGACGCCTTACATGATTCGCCAGGGCAAACCTGTGAGTTGGGATACCGTTCTCGCACTCGTCAAACAAAAATGAACATAAAACTCAATAAACTCTGGAGCTCCTCGCAAATCAAAAATATCGCTCCTCGACATCAGTAGTTTGATCAATGACATTAATTCACTTATTGTCATCTATTCTCTCCCTCAATGAAACATGAATACCCGGCAACGATGATGTTATACCACTGTAAAGACCAAAATCCCTCGGAGACAAGAAATGGGTCATCAGGTAAAGAGACGGTATTTCTTAAGAGTAGACGGTCAAAAACGTCGCCTTTGTGGTTCATATACTATTAAAAACTATCAGAAAGATCGCAAATTCGAGGCATTGAGTAAAAAATGTCAACATACCAGTGGAAAAGCCCGTGGGTTTGTGACAGGCGGTGAAGTCAATGTTGAAAAAGGTGACCAGTGCTTGGATGTAGTCATTCCGCTTGCAGGTGAGTGTAAATGGAGCAGTGAAGGTCAAATCCTCCACAGTGATTGTGTACATATCCACCTCTTTCACCAGACAACAGTTTGTTACCACTTGGTTGGGATCCACAACATCCACAAGGGGTTCCGTGAGGGCGACTTTTCGAATGCAACTCATATCAAAGCCGTACACACTATCCCACCCTGAATTGGAAAATGAAAATGAGACCGTAAAGAGTTCCAAAACTGAAAAACTGAGCCAGAATCGTTCATAACCCTGCAAGCGATTGAGACATTTTCGTAGTACGTCCTTTGAGACCTCGGTAGTAGAATAAAATAGATATGAAACTGTCTGGTTCAACCAAAGGTATATGCGGTTTCCTTTCTAAATCGATTGCGAAGTCGAGTTCGACCGGCTGTTGGACTTGAGGTGAGAGTCCCTCATAGGGAAAGTTCGCAGCTGCAACCCATCCAGGACTTTCTCACTTGCCTTGTCCAAGCGAGGATGACAGCAGTATTGCTAGACACTATACTAGCTAGCAGTGTATATTGTAATCACAAAAACAACCACGTCACAGTAGTCGACTTTTTACAGCGATATATTTGTCTCAGATACGGGTACGGAAGTCAATATTGATCCACTACTTCCGTTCGATAGCGCTATGGGATGCACCCTATAGGTCCCGCAATTAAAATCGTTTTCGGCTCATGGGACAATTCACTCCACACTGCTAATGTTGGCGGGGTGTATATCGGTCGTTAGAAAGGCGTACAATCGGATCAGCTGCTACTACATATGACAAGCGGAGGCATCCTTCGAACTTTGATTTCTTTGGTCAGCCATGAATTTGCCACACCACTGCTTGCAGTTCTGAACTATTGGCTGGGATCAGTTGGAAAAAACGTTGGTAGCGCATGAAAATTATCCGGCAACTGTTGGGAAATACAGTGGTTTAACATTGACAGATAACGCCATAAAAAATTATCAAGCATCTTGAGAAGTCCTTACGCTGAGCAAGGCTGTATCAGCATTTCCGTCCACACTGGATTATCGTACACGGTCCTCAAGATATTTTTACATGCCATACGTCAAATAATACCATGCTCATTTTAATTTAGGCATCATCCAAGGTGCTGTTAGGGGTTAAACCACATCAAGCAATTATAGATACACCCTACATTCAAGTCTGCGGTTCGCGTCAACCAACTGACTAAATTCTGTGAAAACTCGCCTGTCGATGGCCATAAGATCACATGTACAGAAAACCGTGATCATGTTTACTCTTCCAACAAGGAAAAATCATGCAATTTACCACTGGCTGCATGCCTTCACACCAAGTGTTACTTCAACCAACTAGGATACGTATTCTAGTTTTGTGGCGTACGTTTTATTCATACAACAGCACAAGTCCTCGATGCCCTCATGAACAACCGCACCGCAAAAAGACAGGTGCGTCATAAGAAACACGAGAACAGAACAAAAAGTAACAATGGCGAATGAAATACATCAGAAATTCAGAGGAAGCGTTTACGGGCTTTTGAACGTTGGCGTGTTCTGTGGAGCTGAACACTGACGAACTTCTCGAAAAATGCCCGTCCGGCTATGATTCCCTTTCTGTACCAAGCTGTCATACCGAAGGGAGAACACGAGGGATTGAGGCATTACCAGGCTATCTAAGCACATACAGCATCCACCAGAAGATCGACGTCAGACTCTGAGCAGGGAACTTGAGATCAGTGGCTCGGGTCTCATCCACTGAAGTACTGCAAGTCTAAAACAACCTCTTGTGGCTTATTCCTTATCGCCTTTCAGCTAGGTAACCAATTGGATGACAAAATCACTCATCCTCTTGGTTTATTTGATGCAACTATCGTAATTATCACGCTACAGTAGTCCATCTAGTTACCGTTCCTTACCATACTAGTTTGGTCGTGTACGGTAAACCCCATGGTTCCTCTGCAATAGGGCCACTCCTTTAACACAACCAAGGTCTCCTTCCAGGAACGAACCTCTACGTAGGAACAAAATGGGAACCGTTTTAAACTGCTAGCTTTCTATGGAAAAGGCTGATTTTGCTGGCAATAGTGTAAGCTGATAGCACTTACAAGCTTGACTCCCAAAGTAAACAGTTTGGCCATAGATTACCTGAAGCTTGAGAAGTGGACCGTCAGTTTTAAAAATTCCTGCAAATTTCCGGTGTGGAATATCTGCCAGATACGAATGGTTCCCAGGACAGATCAAACAGTTGCAAATGAAACCATACAACACCATCGTTACTAACAGATGCAATAGGCCAAACCAGCTTTCCGCTGTGTGGTTATCGAAACAATAAACGATTTGTAAACATGCCATGCTATGACGCTAGTTAGCAATAGGCCTGTCACCGATGTCATAACAGAACTAAAAAAATGACCATGAAGGAATGCGGCACCACTGATCTGGATGTCGCCGACACATACGGGGCACCAAATGGGTCAAACTAAATGACTATAACATGGTTCCCAAAATAGGGATCAAAGGCCAAACTGGGTACCAGCAACACATTCACGGTGCTGATACCGAGACAAAAAGACCTGTTGAGTTATCCGACGACAGCGACGTCAGCACACGAATGAACAGCCAATGGATAGTTTTATTGGTTATCGTCATAAAAAGGTGACAGTGGACTGATTTAACAAAACGGCCTGTAGTGCACAAATCATTTGATAACCTCAATCATCGTCTGGACGAGGCCACTGGACAGGAAAATCACATCCAAACCCACAAGATACACTTGTCATAGAACCGATAAACGGCTAAAAATTACTGAGTATGATTGGTTGAATAAACAGAAAAAGGTTCTTGTATACAACAGGAACTAAAAACCACAAGAAACCGTCGTTATCCGCCCCAAGTGTCAACGCTATGGTAACTCTCCTGCACTGATTAACACAGGAGCGTAATTTATAAACAAGCGTACTACCGTGAACAAATCAACACAGTGGGTATGAATAAAAACAGGCTGTTACTGCACAGCGACTTTTAAGGAAGAGCACAAGAAGAGAGACGAGACTTACAGTTTATTTTCTCATCCTTATACTGTCGATCCTCAATGGCACACACGTACAACGTGGCACGGTCTGGCATGATAAGGCCACCGGGAGCCTACGGTCACGAAAAAATGAGCATGGAAAGAGATTTTCAACCGTTGGATCCCGAAGGTATTAGCCACAAAAAGGTAGCAGAAAATGTAGTAATCTTGAAAAAATATACAGCAGTGACAATAAAGGAGATAGTCAAATTAACAGGCGCACCTTGTGAACGGAGAATATGACTGAATCGTATATGGAAGATCACTCTTGTGCATCCCCATTCAATCCTGTTTTTAGCCTTAGACTGTATATTGGTACGTAATCTTTGGAGGCTGACATTCAGGATAGTTCTCGTGAAGTGCACCCTGCCAAGGCGTTCACACATGTACTCTACTGTAGTCTTCTCTCACAAACTACCGGATAAGGCGCGCAAAACTCAGATAAACCAGCCTACTTCCACATATCCACTTCACATAATGGAAAGCTAACCTAAAAAAAAGGTTGCACGAGGGCTGGGATACTGCCAGGTTGCCCAAGTCTAGACAGGGGAAGTCGAGAGGCAGAGATCGGGTTCGAACCACGGACCTCCAGGTCAGTAAATTCGCGCTCTAACCACTTGGGACATTTCGCTCCAAACTAACCTAAAGCTATAGGTCTTTAACCAAAGTCCACCTTCTTGTAGACTCACAGCCCCCTCCCCCGACAGTCTACTGAAAAAGCAATCACTTCTATAGATTGAAAACGGTCCGGGCATTTCTCGCGATAAGTAGAACAGGCGGGTTCAATTCACCGGCTCCAAGCCAGTGTCCAATCAGGCCAACAGCAGCAACCCACACTGTTGAGTACGTATACACGTGTTCGCGAAGTAGTATATGGACTGCATTTCTCATCTACGGCGGTCACTGCAAAGTTAGTGGACTTACAGCAGAACAAGGACCAGTATAATTACGTCTTAAGGCTGTTTTCAGTTCCGTTGCTGTGTCTAGCGGATTCCTCGACAAAATTACTGTTCGCAAGCGCAGAGTAAGCGGAGAATTCACAAACAATTAAGTGGTATCGTCTTATGTTACCAGAACCTGGTTCATCAATAGCACGGTGGAGAATGGAGTGGACAAAACGGGAAATGCAAGAATATGTATGCGTATCCACATGAGGATCGACTATTCTGACTAACCCCGTTTCTTGCTCCTTGAGCTTCGCTCTGCGCACTATTTTGTTTGCAAGTTCCCAGTTTTTTTTCTGAAGTTTGCTAGTGACCGTCCAATTTGTGGGCCGCAAAAACTGTCTAAAGGCTTAACTTATGATCCTAGCAGTGACGAATTGAGTTACCTGATCGTTAAGAAGTTTTCTGATCGATCCGGAAAAGAGGGAAACTGGCTCGGGTCGCTGGTCAAATACGATGAGACTGAGATCTCATGAGCTAATTTATTATCAGATGACAGAGGATTAGCAGTCCTTTATCATTACTAACAGTATCCACAGATCGGGGACACTGGCACTTAGCTGCCGTACAACCACCCCAACTCATTCATATAAAACTCAACTACATACTGATCAAACTAACATGTCCACTATAATCGATACGGATATCCTTCCTGTACAGACAACCCTTGGGGAGTGTCAAAATGAGTTTCCCCAGTGGCCTTTATATAAGAGAATGAATAAATTCACACAACGGAAATTCAACCTACTTTATCTCACTTGTTTCCAAGTATTTGGCTGTTCAGCTGAGCAAGAGTAAGGTCTTCACCACACACTTGTCCATTATAATTGCCCATCTCAAAAGTTCAATAACTACTGTACGGTTTCTAGTAATATCACTATGCGAAAACCCACCCGTTTTTCCGGATGCCTTTTCTTCATCAGTGAAAACCATCAACCTGGGTGCTCAGTCGAATAAAAGGGAACTTCAGAAAATTGGCCAGAAGAACTGAAACAGACTATCTGTGATATCACCATCAGTAGTTCTAATTCGACTACCTGAGGGCCCTGTTACGCGCCCGTAAACACGGGTACACGGTTACATTTCAGGCGTGTTAAGTGCCTGGAGTCGGTTTACAAAGCTCCAAACAAGCTAACATAGAGCACGTGACCTAGGATGTGTGTTTCCGCTGAGGAGTAAACCATCTACTTCAGTAACCAAACTTGTGGTACTGAGCAGGTTGTTCCATTGAGAGGAAAATTGTGGCACCAAAATCATCTAATGCGAAAGGTACTGCACATCAATCGAATCGCAAAAGTATCAAACAACACTGTGTAGGAAACCATCGGGGCAACATAACTGTAACTCACCAGCCACTTGTCTCGGGCGAAAATCACTGTATTCAGCATCGATTCATAGAACAAGCAATAGCCCATCCATTCACTGATGATGATATCGACCTTGGGGAATTCTTTCGGAAGCTCGACCTCTTCTACTTTACCCTTGACAAGGGTGATTTCTTAAGTACAAAAATTAAATTGATGAGCCAAATATGTACCGCTTAGTGGACAAGAAAATCTTCGTAAAAGTTCACACATTAAGTTGAAATTGTTCACAGAACATTAGAATTAAGCGCCCAGTCCTCATGAGAATATTTCCAAAAACTGTAAAACTAGTCTAAGTTATTTCCGTTAGGAGGTGAGAATATTTCATAATAGAGAATTCACAGAAAAACAAGCTGGGAGACACCTGAACACTCGTAATCACAATCACACGATGCCAGATAGTTTACTTGCAACTGTTAGCGGTTATTCCACTGGATATCCCCCGCTGAATTATAGGCTAATCGATAATACCAACACTGAGTACGGTCGCACCTCTGGCATCTGTTGCATGTACAGCGATGACCCGGTACTGAAAACAGAAGTCGATCCGCACAACCGAGTGGGAATAAGCCTACCCAAAGTCCGCAAAATCTGGCCCAATCAGTCTGGTCGGTACGCACAATCGCTGTGACAGGAAATTAAAAGAACGATAATCGAGCAGCCACATCTAGCTGTGGCTAGCCCGTTTTCAACATGCAATCAAGTCTTCCTGCTGCGATGCACTTTCAGTGCACATCTGCCACGAGATCCTCAAAAAGTACCAGGGTGAAGACAGTGTACAAGCGACTCAGATCTCGCGTATAAATCCATGAGTTATAATCAACTGGTGCTTCAGAAGTCCCATCATCCTAACAACCAGTACTGTAGGAACGTGGTACAGTGCACCCAGATGCAACGATACAGCTATGCTGTTTCGGATACGACGCTGAACTTGCTCGACGTTCAAACACACACAGATTGGTCGACAACGTGACACAATTTGAATAACCGTCAGACGTCAAGTTAGAGAATCCGTGCTGGTCGGGAGGGGTGGTGGGTTCAGGAGGTCGAAGAAATTAAGGAGTCTGGAAACGTGAGAAAACCTCCAGCTACTACATGGTGAACCGATTAATGACGAGGAAGACCCATTCATGTCTCAAAAAACCTGACCGAGTAACTGAGATGAGCAATTCAACTAGTTAACTGCAGTCGCTCAGTCAGGTTGCGGACCCGCAGCGGAGCTATGGACATTGGGCTTGCAGTCTCCAAGATGCTTCGAAATATGCTCACAATTTCTCACCCCTCAACTGCCATGGAACTATCGACCCTCACCCATTTTGTTTAAGAATGGGAAACTATTAATTTTTATCCAAAGTGCCCGACTGTGCACACAACAGTCTGTCATATATTTGCTCTGTTTTTCAAACGTTTCATCATTTGTTGCTAAATCACGTTCTTCCGCTTCCAGCTCTCAGTGTCAAAGTTTTGGATGAATAAAGCCTAGCTTTCGGGCCCTCAGTATTTTCCATTGTCATTCTGATTGTCGTTGCACTCCGACCCTCGTCGTACACAACAATTTATTCATCCAAAAAAAGTTTTCTTCGAACAATGGATCGATTCTTACGTCCTGAACGATTCGATAACGACTCCAATACTCAAGACTCGGCAGATACCTGGGAGCATTGGTTTTGTACTTTCACAAACTTCCTAGAGTCAATCGGTTCTCATTCACCAGATAAACTGAAAACCTTGTTCAATTACGTCACCCCTAGTGTTTACCGATTCATCAAAGACTGCAAAGACTATGAATCAGCCGTCGAAACCTTGCGAGAAATTTACGTACAGCCGAAAAATGGAGTTTTTGCATGGTATCTTTTGAACACTTGTAAACAGGAAGGAGCTCAGAACCTTGATCAGTTTGTGCAGAAGCTTGGTAGTTTATTGCCAGACTGCCGCTTTACAGCCGTCAGTGCAGAACAGCATACCGATGAAGCGTTACGAGACGCATTTATCAGTGGACTTTATTCCAATACTATACGCCAGAGACTGCTGGAACATAAGTCGCTGGATTTTAAAACCGCGTACGACCATGCAAAGTCCCTCGAACTAGCGCAAAAACAGTCATTGTCATTTTTGCCGAACACTCAACTCCCCTTTGCCACCGTATCGAACGACCCACCAAAGTCTCCACGTTCTCAAACGTCATCGCACGAGCAGGCGACTGCTACCAGTGTGGGGTCCTCATGTTTCTTCTGTGGCTATGCTCGTCACCCGAGATATAAATGCCCCGCTAAGGATGCAACCTGCAAAAACTGTGGGAAAGGGCATTTTCAAAAGGTTTGCAGATCTACTGGTCCGCGGAACACTGTTTCAAGTGCGCTATCTTGCGTCAGTGCAGCGGCTCCCGAGTATCTAAAAGAAGCAGTCACCGATGTGAAAGCCAATGGTGTCCCACTTCGAGCTGTTGTTGATACTGGTAGCTCAGAAAGTTTCATTTCCGAAAAGGTAGTCCGTCGTAACAAGTGGTCTGTACTACCATCGTCATCTGAGATAACCTTGGCATCTATCCAGCACAAAAGCTTTACTCTTAGACATTGCCTTTTAACGTTGCAACACAAACAAAACAAGTATCCCTCTTTCAAGTTTTCAGTATTACGTGACCTCTGTGCAGATATTTTGCTAGGACATGACTTTCTTAAGCTTCATAAGTCCCTGGAAATCTCATTCAACGGTGACAAACCTTCTTTTTCCCTTTGTGGTCTAATTGCTGCCAAAATTGAACCTCCCACTTTGTTCGAGCATATTGACCCAAGGTGTAAGCCAATCGCCATAAAGTCCAGGCGACATTCTGCAGACGACGAGGCCTTCATTGCTTCTGAAGTAAAGCGTTTACTTGACCAACACATCATTGAACCCTCGAAGTCCCCATGGAGAGCGCAAGTGCTCGTCACGACAAATGAACGACAGAAGCGAATGGTGGTTGACTATAGTCAAACTATAAACCGATTTACGCAACTAGACGCTTATCCGCTCCCCAGACTTGAAGATTTAAGTACTAAAATAGCTCAATATCGTATTTTCAGCACGCTTGATCTTGAAAGTGCGTATTATCAGATACCCATTAAAGAAAGCGACAGAATCTACACGGCTTTTGAGGCTTGCAACAACCTCTATCAGTTCCGTCGAATACCTTTCGGAATAACGAATGGGATAGCCTGTTTTCAAAGGGTAATGGATGACATAATACGCGCCGAACAACTTACCGGGACATATGCGTATGTGGATAATGTTACCATTTGGGAAAGAATCAAGAAAAGAAGAACATGGTCGAAACCTCCAGCTTTTCCTCACCGTAGCACAAAAGTACGGCCTCCAGTTAAATCACGATAAAAGCACGATTTCCACCACTAAGCTCCTCGGCTATGAAATTACTGAAGGTATCATCAAACCAGACCCTGAACGCTTCAAGGTATTGCAAAAACGTTCCGTTCCGAACGACATCAAGTCTCAACAACGAGTGGTAGGATTGTTCGCGTACTATTCTCGTTGGATAAGCCGTTTCTCGGATCTACCCAATC